AATAAAGCTGTGGGAAAAAATGAACATTCAAATGCAAAATAAATGAACTTTGACCACCACACATACCATGTTCTTTTTTAAAATCTCAAAATGGATCATAGACCTAAATGTAAAACCTAAAACTTTAAAATTTCTAGAAGAAGAAAGCATAGGAGAAAATCACTGTGATCTTAGATTAGGCAAAGCTTTTTTTTTTTTTTAGGTAGAATACAAATACATAACTCATAACAGAAAAGAAACTGATAAAATTTTAAAATTCTGCTCTCCCAAAGATACTGCTAAGAAAATGAAAAGATAACACATATTTGCAAAATATATATCTGATAAAAGACTTGTATTTATAACATATAAAGAATTCTCACAATTCAATAAGAATAACCCAATTTTTTAAGTAGAGAAAAGATCTGAACAGATACTTTTCCAAAGAAGATATACAAGTAGCAAATAAGCACATGAAAAGATGCTCAACATCATTAGTCATTAAGGACATGCAGATTAAAACCACGGTGAGACGTCGCCACATACCTAGTAGAATGGCCCAAACTTTTAAAAATAGATAATACAAGTAGTGAGGAGACTGTCAAGTAACTGGAACTCTTGTCCATTGCTGATGGAAATGCATAATAGTATAGCCATCTTGAAAAAAAGCTTAGTAATAGCTTATCCAGTTAAACATATACTTAATATACAACCCAGAAATCCTACTCCTGGGTATTTTCCCAAGAGAAATTAAAACATATGTCCACACAAAGATCTATAAGTGAATCTGTAAGTATGAGTTCAAAGCAGCTTGATTTGTAATAACTAAAAACTGAACACCCCATGTCCACCAACTGGTGAATGGATAAATAATTTATAGTAGTCCATATAGTGGAATGTTACTTAGCAACAAATAGGAATGAGCTCCTGATGCATGCGACGTGGATGAACCTCAAAGGTATTATGCTAAGAAAAAGAAGGTGAGCTCCAAAGGCTGTGTACGGCATGAGTCCCTTTATAGAACATTCTGGAAAAGATAAAAGTACATGGACAGAAGTCAGAAACAGCTGCCATGGGCTGGGAGTGGAAGAGGGGGCTTGACTACAAACAGCACAAAAGAACTGATTGGAGTGATCACTATAATCTATATTTTTATTAGAATAGTGGTTATATGACTACATGCATTGGTCAAAATTTACCATATTTCATCTCTAAAAAGAATGAATTTTACCATGTACAATAATCTGAATTTAAGAGGAACTAATCTGGGATATGGGTAATAAGGGGAAGATGTATACGGACCAGGGCAGAGGGACATAGGGAATCTCTGTACCTTTCACTCAATTTTGCTGTGAACCTAAAACTGCTCCAAAAAAACATAAAGCAATAAAGCCTTAATTTTAAAAAGAAGTAAATTTATTATAAATCACCTATTACTGAGATGAATGGGATGTTATGTTTTAATTAAAAGAGATTCTGAAAATTAAAAAGAAAAGACAATCCTTTTTGACTGCCACCAAAACCTGAAAACAAGCCCCTAGAAGGCAGTTTGGTACAAGAAAAAAGCACACACAGATTCTGGAGTGGAACAGAACTTGGCTTTACTGGCTGTGTAACTGGGCAGGTAACTCAACCTGGATTTGAGCAGTATGGGTCTATTATGATGATCATGTAATGACAATGTAAAATCTGATAATCCTCAAAGCAAGAGTTTCCCTCGTACACCCCACTCCTCAACCCACAGTGGGGATCCCCCTCGTTAATTTAAGTGCCCAAACAATGGTGACAGGAATGTTTGAGAAGCAGATGAGACAGTCCAACCTTAAATCATTCAAGGATTAAAGTCGGGGAAACAATGAGGCAAAGAACAGCAAAGCCTTTTTTTAAATTCCTTCGGAAGATTCAGAGGATGTCCTGGAACTAGGTGCCCACAGAAGGCTCTGTGTGCCCAGGAATCTAAACATTTTCGTTCTGAAAACAAATGGTTTCTAAGGAGTACAGGTCACCTGCCTCCTGAAACAAGGGGCAGACTCTTCTCAACTACAGACTCACTCCCTGAGGGTGTGTGGGGAGAAGAGGGGGTAGTCTCAGCATGCTTAGTCCAGGCCCAGACGCAAATTTGGCTTTGATTTTTAAATCTGCCTTTTCATGGGTATTGTGACAAAAGCTAGATGTGGAGTCTGGAAAAGGAAAGGTCACTGGGTATGGGATCTGTACAAAGAAACTGGGCCAGCTCTGCAGCATCTCCTTAGCTCCAGAATACAGTCCCCAGGAAAAGATGTCATTATCCTGACGACATAGTATGAGATCCTCGGTTTCCAAAGACAAAACTCACAAAGACAGGCAATAAGGCCCACAGAAAACCCAAGAGGAAACAGCCTCCTCCACATAAAACAACAGTGCACCCTAGAATCAATAATCTCAAGACACAAAGCTTGTGGAAATTTAGATCATAATGAAGGTGGTCTTCAGACAGATGGAGAGGAGTTTATTTACTAAAATAACTTGGGGGCGACTTGCTCATGATTTGCAATACAAAGAAGCTGCGTTCCTATCCTCACTCCCTAAACCAAGACAAATTCTAAATGAGTTAAAGAGTCAAATGGATAACAGAAATCTAAAAGTACCTAAAGAAAACATGGGAGTATTTTTTTTTTAAATCTCAGAGGAGGGAAAATATTCCTAAGCATGATCCAAAACCTAAGCTATAAAGCAAAAATTAAATCAATTTGACTACCTAAAACTTTTTCAGAGGATTCAAAAAATGTTATAAATAAATTTAGAGACAAACTAAGAAAAAATATTTTAAATACATACAAAGGCCTAATCTCTTTAACATAAAAAGCCCTTAAAATCCTTTGATAAAAAAATACACAGTCCAGCCCTGGCTGGTGTAGCTCAGTGGATCAAGCGCGGGCCATCAGACCAAACAAACGAGGTTCGATTCCCAGTCAGGGCACATGCCTGGATTGCAGGCCAGTTCCCAGCAGGGGACACACAAGAAGCAACCATAGATTGATATTTCTCTCCCTCTCTCCTTCCCTTCCCCTCTAAAGATAAATAAATAAAATCTTAAAAAAAACACACAGTCCAGTAGGAAAATGGGAAAAGGACACGAACAGAGAATTTTTTTAAAGAACTAGAAATACCAATAATCATATGAAGTCAAGATTAATCTCCCAACTAAAGAAATGCAAACTAAAACACGATGCCAGCTTTTAAAAAATGTTTGACACAGAAATGTTTATAATATTAAAAAATGAAAGTAATCCAAACCCATCAATAGAGGACACTTAAATAAATAATGGTACATAATCTAATTAAATACCATGTACCTATTATAATTTAAATACTGATTTTACCTATACTGATAACATTTAAAACAGTCTATAGGATATGGTCGAGTAGTAGAATAAAAGATTTTAATCTATGTAACAAGATTCCATTTATCTAAAAGTGTACATTTTGACCTATTTGTGAATTTATGCACAAGATACGTCTGAAATAAAATTCCCCAAATGACCACAGTGATTGTCAGTGATCTCAGTTGATTTTTAAATTTCTTTCAAAATTGCAATATCCTTTTAATAACTACAATGAGCACATATTTCTATAATTAAAGAAAACTAAGTTATCTTTGTTTAAAAAATATGAAGAAGTTTCAGTGTGATATTTCAACAAAATAAAGCAGTAAGTCGAGTACCAGTCAGACCAAGGCACCTGCCCTGCGGCTGCCCTCTGCGGCCAGCACGAGGCAACAGGAGGCCGGCAGGGAGGCAGTACTCTCAGGTTTGCAAAGGTGGAGCAAGGTGCAGGACAGCAGGGTTTCAGAGAACAGGTTTGGAGTGTGAGCGCTGTGCTGTGTTGACTTTGGCCAAATCATGTAACTTCTCTGTCCCTCAGTTTCCTCCTTGTAGAACTCGGATAATGGTCTTTACCTCATGGGGTTGTTGAGGATGAAATAAGACAGACACCTTCAGCTCACTGCTTTAGCACATAATAAGCACTCAACAGATGTCAGTGCTTGTGTTATCATCTGGGATATTTGTAACTTTCGTTCACATTACAACCACTATATTCTCTGAGAGGAACCGCAGACCTTGGAGAATCCAAACATCTGCCCTTCCTGGAAGCAGCAAGTGAGGAGCACAGCAGCCGGCAGGAAAGAAGAGGAGGGCAAAGCGAGGGATAAATAATTCCCTGGTGCTGCCTGGGGTGCAAGTCAGTGAGCCAACATGACTCACTCCTCCCCTCCCATCCTTCCTCCTGGGCCAGTGGCGGGAACCTTCCCACACACTGCCGTACGTGAGGATCCTAGGAAGGCTACTCAAGTGCCAAGCCAGACAGGACGTTAGAGATCACCTAGTGCAGCACCTTTCATTCAGCAGGCGAGGGCCCTGAGGACCAGAGAGGAGAGGAGACTTGCAGGGAGCCAGAGCTTCCAGGACCCTGCACAGACTCCTGATCGATCGATCGTGGAGCCCCCTCCTAAGCTCATCCTTCCCTTCCCCTGGCTCCGCCCTCATGTCTCATTCCCCTCCCCCCATTTCCATCACCTTCTTCATTACCTGTCAGACTCCTCTGACAGCCCTAATTGTCCTTTATGGCTTTGTGGAGAGGGAAGGAACCAGACTAGAATTGTTCTGACTCAAGAATGGCCTAGAAAGAAGACTGTTATGGCCATCACTATGTCAAAACCCACAAAGCCATTCTGCTGCTTCCAAAAGCATCTTAGCTCAAACCATGGTGTGGAACTAGAGAAGGGTAGAGGGAAGAACTCTAAGGTGCTCTCGTTCCTCCCTGGTGACACTGGAAATGACCTTGAAACTCTTAAAAAAAGGAAGAACCCAAAAGAGAGAGGTGCCAGCAGATTCAAGAGCAAGCAACAGACTCCAGCTCTTAGGTGCACAATCAAGATGCAGGGCAGCCAAGGATGAGGAGAGAGACGTGGAGGCAGGAGTGAAAGGCCACTTTCCCTGCACATAGTGCTGACTCTTGGCAGTGACTGGGCTGGGGCTTACCTTGGGTAGACTGACGGGAGTCCTGGGCTTGGTCCTTGGGTTCTTAATCAAGAGCCTCTGATCCAGAGGGAGCAGATGATACTTCATGGCTTCGATGAGGAAGTCCTTACAGGTATTGTTATTCTTTATCAAAGCTTCTTCTTCAACTGTCTGGAGGTAATAACCCACAGATGATCCAGGAGCAGAGCCCGGCCACATATCCATGCTGCCACCCCAGGCTGAGTCATTCCGCATGCCCACCCTCATTCATTCTCACACCACACCATCTCAGACCTCAAGAGAAAGGTCCACAGAGTCACGACTTGGTGGTCATCTCCTGCATTTCAAGAGCACTGAGGAATATGTGATGAAACTCAGACATCAAACAGACAGGAATACAAACCCCAGCTCTACCACTTAACTCCTCTGATCCTCAGTTTTCTCACCTGTAAAATGGGCACATTAAAGTTGCCCACAATCTCACTTCATTTGTTCACTCTGAAGCTTAAATAAGGTTATATAAAACAAAGACAAATAGTCCTGAAAGCCTTTTCCACATTCTGCCTGGTTTGAATGCACCATAATGTTTAGAGCAAATGGTCAGATATTTGAGAGGAAGAAAGCGAGGGAGAGGGAGAAATCTATCAGCCAACCTTTTGGAGCCATGAAATAAAAGAAGGTGTCTATCAAGGAGAAGAATTCACCTTGGCTGGTGTGGCTCAGTGGGCTGAGTGCCAGCCTGTGAACCAAAGAGTCGCCAGTTTGATTCCCAGTCATGGCACCTGCCTGGATTGCTGGCCAGGTCCCCAGTTGGGACACACAAGAGGCAACCACACATTAATGTTTTTCTCCTCCTCTTTCTTCCTCACTTCCCCTCTCTCTAAAAATAAATAAATAAAATATTTTTAAAGAATTCATATCCATATTCAGAAGTGAAATCCTCAAGGAGAAAACTGTCCAGTAAGGCCCTGTGTAATAGAGTGGTGATAGTGGAGAAGAAAAAATGTCCTTCACAAAGCCTCACCTACTGACCTCACCTTGGACCCCATCTGAGCTGGGACAATAACTTCTTCACCTCTCATTTCAGAGTTATGGACTTAAGCAGGTGTTCAGCAAGTGTAAACCTAAATGTCTCCTTAGCAAGGCCAAGGATGAAACCATCCTGGTGCTCTGTCAAATCTCCACGGTTTGATCCAGGTCCGAATGCCATGTGGAATGTCTGGAAGGGCTAGGATGGTCTCTGGGGGCCACTTCATGTCTCCTGCACACAAAGCAGTGTTTGGAATCTGTTGGGAAGGGTCGATTCCATTCAATAGCTAACTGACTGAACGTCTTCTGCTTGGGCAGCCCAGTGCTGGGCCCCAGCAGGAAAATGATGAACAAGACAAGGGTGCTAACCCGAAGGTGCTCAAGTCCATTTAGAGAATGAGAAGGGTCCTCCGTACCGCAATTATCTCAGTCCTCAAGCTGATCACGCACAAGGTGTAACTGAGCCTCTCCAGGGTCCCCACCTGTAACTAAGAATGAAAATCTGGCCATCACCTGCTGGGCGGCTTGGAGCTGGCAGGGAAAGAAGGATCGGTAGCCTCCGGGCACTTCCTTCCCCAGAGATGATTCCCAAGAATACTTCCAAGAACACTCTGCTTTCTTAAAAGGTGTTTCTGCCCTCCCACTAAGAGACCAAATCAGGTCGGGACAGATCATAAACTTTCAGCATCAGTTAAAAAAAATGAAAAAGGTAAGAGTGGATCTCTAAAAGTTTGGGAGGAAAGAGAAATGAATAAACAGCTGCTTCATCCAAAGAACTCATTCAGCATGAATGAAAAGCTCCGCTAGAGAGTTAGTGCTTCATGGGTACAGAGTTTCAATCTGAGGTGAGGAAAAAGCTGTAGAAATGGATATGGTGATGGTTGTACTGCATGGAGCATGTAATTAATACCACTAAATTATGCACTTAAAATGGTAAAAATGAGCCCTGGCTGGGTACCTCAGTTGGGTAGAGCATTGGCCCAATAAACAAAGCTGTGCGTTCAATACTAAGCGAGGGCACATACAGGAATCAACCAATGAATGAAAATGCATCAACGAGTGAAGCAACAAAGCAATGTTATTCTCTCTCGCCGATAATTTTTTAAATGGTTAAACTGATGAATTTTATGTTATATATTTTAACACAATAAAATCATTTTAGAGATATAGCATGTTGTATCTTTGTATATAATATTTTAAAATATTTCATGAAAGCTTAATAAATGTTAACTACTTATTATTAACTTTTTGGAACAAAACCAAACAAGGAAACCCCTCTCTGGAAAGTCAGACAGTCTTGGTCTGCTCAAAGGCTTTCCCTTCCTCCTCCTCCTTTGCAATCAGCCATCCCCGAAGGATTACACCAGTTTGAAGCTTCAAGTTCAAATGAATGTTAATGAAATATCCTTTTTTTCCCAAAGTATTCTGAAAAAGCTCCCTTTTTTAAAAAGGATCTTACACAACAGTTCTCATGTCCACTGCCCCCGATCCCTTCTTCTTCAGATCTAAACCTACTTTGCCATAATAGCCCAGGAACATTTCCTAATGTCTTTGCTAAATTTCAGTTATGGGTACGTGATAGAGGTTGGGACTAGGGGTCTCTAAGGCTCCTTTAGATTTCTCTGGAACCCAGGGCACAGGCTTCCCTTCCTCCCTGTGAAACAAGACTGTGCTGGACGCCTAACATCCACTTCTGCCTTTGATGAGTTTCCCACAGGAGAGTGGGAGGTTTGACTCTGGCACTGGGAGCTCTGACCCGTTCAGGCTTTCTGCGTAGGGGGCCTTTTCTACAGGAAGGATATGCTGCCGCCAGGTGGCAGTGGTACCATTCAAAGTGAAACATGCAGGACTCAGCGCCTGAGAAGAGGGCTTAGGTTTGGAGAGCATATCCCTGCCCCTTAGGCCTACGGACTACAGTGTCATGAGCTGAGGGCTTGACAAGGGCTTGTGAGGACACTGTCTCAGCTAGACTCACTGATCGCTATTGCAGGCTTTACATGGATTATCTCATTCTATCCCCAAACAATCCTACAGAGGCCAGGTGCAATTTTTACTGGGTGAGAGAGCCCAGGTTTACAAAGGTTGAGGACTGGCCCAGTGTGGGATAGCTGGGAAGTGACAGAGAGCTAGGCTGCTGGGCCGCTGAGCCTCCCCTTATCTTCCCTTCACTCTTTCCATTCCTTCCAGAGATTTGTCAGGGACAGCTGAGGGCTGGCTTACTGCCTCAGTGCTTTGTGTTGTCCATGCATTTAAGTTTTAAATTCTGCCTGCTTGCAAGAGTGTATAATGTCCTTTACTGTACAAATCAAGGTATGAAATGGATAAACAGAATGGAGAGCACTAAAGGTGGCAGGCTGCTTCACGCAAGGTGTGTGCGTTAGAGCCAGACAGGCTTGGATTTAAATCCTGACGCTGCTGGTGATGCCAGATAAAGCCCAACCTCCTAAGTCCTGAGGCCCCAATTTGCAAAAAGGGGGTTATAGTCTCTGCTCACAGGGTTACGACAAGGACTGAATGAGGACACGTATGGTGCCATGTTTCCAGGGATGGGAGATGCAACATGCATTCCAGGCACCTGGGAAGAGTCGCTTTATCCCAAATGGGGTAAATCCCAAATGGAGCCACAATCCCAAATGGGGCTCCAAGTGGCCTAAAAACTAAGGCAAAAAGGGAACAAAACACTATGGAAATGATCCTTCTTACTTGGTCTCCTACAATAAAGGCAGCTAACTTTTACTGAACATTTACCTGGCCCCGCTCCACGTAAACATCTAACTTACAAATTTACAGCTCCCTGGGTCCCCACGACAACCCTGCTGGGCTCCATTATAATTTCCCTTCTATAGAAGGAAAAATTGAGACTTTAAGAAGTTAAATAAAAACTCCAAACTAGCCAGTAAAGTAGAAGGAGAGCAGGGACTGAAACCTAAGTGTCTTATTCTCGCACCAATGTTTTCAGGCCTTACACTACCTCACCTCCCAATTAGCCCAACAGAGCCCCCCACCCCATACGGAAGGCCCAGAAAGCTCCCCCTCCGCTCCGTGCAACCAGGGCTGCCCACGGCTACACTGGAGGCCTGGGTAAGCAGGGAAGGGCTTAGCTCTTCACACAGGACTCACCTGGACAAGGTAATCCCTGGGTAGAAGAGGGAGACGGACATGTTCCATCAGCTTTGCCATATGCTCTAGACGGGTTTCTTTCTCATAATTGATCCACGAGATCACAGCTTCAAATACCTATGGAGAAAATCAACACAAATAAGTTTACCAAGAGACAACAGCTTTCAAACAGCTTTCAAATGAATTCCTCAACCCGAGAAGAAGGGGGAAAAAGCTAAAGTCATCCAAAACGCGTTCAACTTAAAGGTCAATATTTAAAATAAAACAAAAATAGAAAGTCTTTGCTTACTAGCTGATGTGAGTGATCACACACATATGTTATGATAAACCTGCCATCCCAAATGCAGAATCATCGAGGTTCATTGCAAAATACACATCAGTTCCAGTAACAAGGAAAATGGGGACAGACTCATAGATGTAGAGCAGGATGACAGCTAGTGTGGGGGGTGAGGAACTGAGCAAAAAGGAAAGAGGACCCATGGGCATGGACAACAGTGTGGCGAATGTTGGGGGAGGGGGGTATAAGAGGGCTAAATGGTAATGGAAAAAATACAATAAAGGTTAAATCAATTAAAAATTTTTTAAACTATACAAAAAAATCAGTTCCAGTAGTTACTTAAGAGTAGACATGCAGAGCAGCAACTCTGAAGCAATTAGATAAAGACTGCCCAAGGGGACCGGAAGCCCAGGGGCCAACGTCAGTATCCTGCTCATACACAGTCCCTCTCCTCTTTCATCTCCAGTGTTCCACTAACGCAGAATAAAACAGTAAGAATACCCTCTGCCGAAAGTTGGTGGTCATGGTGAATATGACACTGAATGACAGAGAATTTCTAGTAGTGAATGGCAAAAATTTCCCTTGGTTTTAACCTCTCCTTTGAGGAGAAGTTTCATTTCTACACAAATCAAAACTGGGCTTGGAACCAAAAAGGAGAATCTATGGTTTGGGTGTTTGCCTTACTCAAGCACAAGTCCAGATGCAAATTCTGCACCACCATGACCAGAGACAGATAAAGTTCAATGTGGTTAAGGCCGTGAGGAAACCAGCACTGTTTGTGGAAACTTAATTAACGTGGTTTTTTAAGGGGAGGGGAAAATCTGGCAATATCAATCAAAAATTTAAATGTGCATATTCTGACAAAAAAATAATGCTTCAAAAATGCCAACCTACAAAAATATTCACAAAAGTGGTGCGAAAATATGTTCCAAGATGTTTGCTGCACATTTTTTAACAAGATAAAAGAAATGACCCAAAGTCCACTAGTGGAAAAATTATTAAAGTAGTTCCATACCATGGAATATTTTCAGCTGTTAAAAAGAATAAAACAAAACACCATGTGCCAGAAAGCAGGAAAGTGCTCAAAGGTTAAGGAGAAATGACAGATGGACACAGAGCCTAATAGACGGGGCTCCCATTATCCACATTTGGGACAATTCAAACATCAAAGAAACAGCGAAGAAATCAGATCAGAGCTGCTGGGGCGGGCAGGCGGCGGGGGCAACAACCAGGAAGGGGCCAAAGGAAACCGTGCGCCACAGTTTGAAGGGTGGCAGTTACGTGGGGATATGCATTTGTCAAGGCTACTCAAACTGCACCCTGAACATCTGTACATTTCTCGGTGTGTAGATCGTACCTCAACTTCTCAGTTAAAAGAAAACAACAGTAACAGATGAATGAATAAAGAAGAATCTAAGAGTCCATAAGAATACTAAAAACCAAAGGTAAAAAGTGGGAAGGACCCTTCTGCACAGAAAAATGCCTGCTAATGAAAGGGGAGGGAATGACAGAATGAGAAAAACATCATTTTGCAATCACCAGTGTAACATCTGATTCAGCAAAGATCATCCATGGATACTGAAATAACTGGGTGAGAAGTTCTTGGGGAACAACATACAGTCCCGGTTCTCAGAGTATCACCTCCATGGTTATTTATTCATTACATGGGGTGGGGAGCCTCAGATGGGGAGAGCTGACGGATACCACCTTTAACAAGAGATCAAAGTTACCCCTTCCCATAGTGGGACACACAAATTATATTCCTGATTGTGATTTAATGGGAAGAACACAGTATCCCCTATGTAGTATTCTTCCTAAAATGCTTGACCTGGAGCAAGGACACAATCAGACAACTCCATATTTGGACCATTCTACAGGACAACTGGCCTGGATTCTTCAGAACCATTAATATAGTATGAACGGGGCAGGGACAGTTCTGGATTGAGGGGATTTAGAGACAGGAGAACGAAATGCAGTACATGATCCTTGACTGGATCACGGATTTAAAAGAAACGGTCATAGAGGATGTTTTCAAGACTATTAGGAATTTTGAATACCATCTATATATTAGATAATATTATAGTATCAATGTTAAGTTTCTTTAGCATGGTAATGGTTTTATGGCTAGAAAAGGGAACTTCCTTGTTCTTAGGAGGTGCATGCTAAAATATTTAGGGGTGAAGTGTCATGATGTCTGCAATTTATTGTCAAATGCTAGAGTGAAACAGAAGATTAAATATGGAGAGAAAGAAAAAGAAATCCAATGAAACAAAATGTTAACAACCGGTGAATTTAGGTAAAGAGCATATGAATGTTCACTCTTTCAAACTTCACCATAGGTTTGAAATTTTTCAAGACAAAAAGTGGAAGGAGAAAGAAATGAAATTCTAAGGGAAAAGGAAAAATACTACAACAAAAGTCACAGTGTGGCATAAAGTTAAAATGAAAATTCTATTTCTCCAGGAGGGAGGGCTCTCTCTAATTTTTCCTAACCTGACTATATTTTTTGTGTCTATTGACATGTTAATGATGCTTTGCCTTTAAAATGCTTGGACCTATTTCCAAAATACATACTTAAGTCAGGCTGGGCATACTTGATTGACCAAAGAATCCACCAGAAAGGAAAAGGAGGGAAGAGAATAGAATGGAACAGAAGGAGCAGGATGCATGCACAGTTTGCTCCCAGATCTGTATAAAATAGCCTACCTATGCACAAACATGCAGATACACACCACGGAAATCCTCCTTGTCTAGCTCATTTTATCAAATTATTAACTCTCATAGAGTAATATCCCCTCACACCCACAGTATTATGTTATGAATAATTGTGTTTCTTCGACTAGCCCTTAAGATCTTTGAGAAGGGGGACCTTGTCTTATTTGCTGGCACATAATACACACACAAATATTTTGTTAATGAATGAATGGACAAATTGAGCTCAAATGTAAGGAGGCAGTGGAACCTGCCCAGGCTGGAGCAGAAAGCAGGACTAAGGAGGCGGGGGCTTGAATCTCAGTGGAGAGGGCAGAGCCAGGCCACAGACTAAAAGATACCGGAGAAACCTGGCATTGCTGTGTTAGGTGGTGGGCAGCCACAGCCCTCTCTGCCTTGTGTTGGGGTTATCCTACTTCCTTCTACTCCCCTTTACTAGATTGTGAGCTTTTGCAGGATGAGAAGTGTATGTTCTCTGTCCCTGCACCTCCTGCCACCCAGGACCCTGCCAGGCACAGAGCAGATGGCTGAAAGCTTTGCTAAAGAATGAACTGTAGCCCTGACTGGTGTAGCTCAATGGATTGAGCACAGGCCTGCAAACCAAAGGGTCACGGTTTGATTCCCAGTCAGGGCACATGCCTGGGTTGCAGACCAGTTCCCAGCAGGGGCCCATGAGAGGCAACCATATATTGATATTTCTCTCCCTCTTTCCTTTCCTTCCCCTGTAAAGATAAATAAATAAAATGTTAAAAAAAAAAAAGAATGAACTGTAGCCCTGGCTAGATAGCTGCACCAGTTAGAGCATTGTGCCAATACACCAAGGTTATGGGTTCAGTCCCTGGTCAGGGCACATACCAAGAATCAAACAATGAATAAATAAGCAAAACAACGAACTGATCTCTCTCTCTCTCTCTCTCTCTCTCTCTCTCTCTCTCTCTCTCTTCCCGCCTCTCTCTAATCATCAATAAGTAAATTTATAAAAGATGTTTTGAAGAATGCACTGTAAGTCCTTGAGTAGGTGGCATTTCATGATCACACCCTTCCCCATCAACCAGCTTAGTCTTTGTTATAAAAGCTGAAAAGCAAGCTGAGTCTAATGAAGTCGATATTTAACCTTATCTTTATTTTTGGCTTGACTTGTTGAACTGGTTCCGCTTAGCTGCACTGTTTACCTACTCAGCCGTGAAAGCTACAGCACCAGGCAACACCGATGACCTTCTCAGCAGGCAGAGGAGGCCACGTGTTTTTTCATTTAGACTTCACGCTTGAAACATAAACTTCCAACTAGCATTAGCCTTCAGTTATGCCTAAAATCACTGCCAACAGTTCCTCCCATCAAGGGACTGGCCAAGCAAGGAGGCAACAAGTAAAAGCAGCTGAAACTCACCAAGTGCCGCACCCTGCACCCCATTCTTCAGAGACACCACGTTCTTGGAGTCTCCCGAGAGCCCAGTGAACAAATGCTCTTGCCCCTTATTAAGTGACTCGGCCAAATCCAGAGCCAGAAAGCAGCAGGGCTGAGGTCCATGAGTACCCAAGTCCAGGGCTCATGCTCTTACCCACTGCTCTTGGCCGCCTCTCCAACGTCTGTAGTAGTGGTTGGCAGACCAAAGCCAAAAGGCCACATTCAGCCTGCCACTTGCTTTGTAAGCAAAATTTCATTGGAACACAGGCACACTCAGTCATTTACATACTGTTTGTGGCTGCTTTCACACTGTAACAGCAGAGTTGCATTGAGACTCTACTGTCCACAAAGCCTAAAATATTTATTCTCTGGCCCTGTATGGGAGAAGTATGTCAACTCTTGGTCTATAAAGTCCAAGCAGAAGCCCTGGGCCAGGTAGCTCAGTTGGTTTGAGCACTGTCCTGATACATTAAGGGTTGCAGGTTCAATTCCAGGTCAGGGCACATACAAGGCATTATGAGAATCAACCAATGAATGCATAAAATAAGTAGAAAATTGATTCGTCCTCTCTCCCTTCCCCCTTCCCTCTCTCTCTCTTAAATCAATTTCTTAAAAAAATCTAAGCAGAGACACCGTGGTTTTAGTCATGGAACAGGGTGATATCTACTCAGCGAAAATACTTCCCATGGGTCCTATGATGAAATAATCAGCCACCACAGGTGC